CATTTTCAGTCATTATGGTGATCAACAATAAATTAAGAGGAAAGTATATATCTGGAAAATCATGGACCTTTCCAGGGTTTACTGTTGTATGCAAATTGGCTGACTGATTATCCAATGGCAACACTTGAATAATACTTAAACACCTGGTTGACCTGGTTTTACACCAAACAGCAGCTTTGTTTTGAATGAATACAGAAGGTGTGGCTAATTTTTTCAACGCTGAAAAGCTAGCAAGTTCCAATGTAGATCTTTCAGAATTATTTATTATGACAGAAACTGGGACAAATCAAAACTGACCTAATTGCTTCTTTCTATGTTGAATATGAAAACTTGTATATCCTGCTTATGATAAAAGAAACCTTGTCAATGTGATCTAAATTATATTCATGACAAAGAAAAAAACTCATAAAAATCATTGTTGTAACCAAACTAACTTTACGTTTTAACAAAGCAAAACATAGTCTAATATAACTTGTCTACATCCTGGTTATGAAAAAAGCATGGATAAATCCAAGTTATGATAGACATTTTTTTATTAAAATCAGTAGCTAAATACTGGTTATGAAAAACAAAAACCTTGTCTAAACCATAGTCATGATAAAAAAAAAAAAAGATTGTCTAAAACCTGGTTATAATAAAAACTAAATAATAAAAAAACATTAAAGGATTCAAATATTTGTAAACATAACATTGTCCATCATTCACTGTTATTCAGAACCTGCATCTCAAACATTTCATATCTCCCTGTTTCCATACAGTCTTCCATTTCCCAAAATCTGTTTGCCTTCTTCTTGACTTTCAGTGCAGGCCTCAGCTTCCTTGATCTCCTAAATGACCTTTGTTCTAAATGTTTCCGCGCATGAAAATCAAACTTAGAAGTAGTATGTGGTTTAAAAAGCTTTCCTTTATGGTCTACTTTATTCTTTTCCCCTTTAATTGATTTACTGACATTGGAATTTTTTCTCTGCACTTTTGAAATATGCATATCAGGATTTTCATTTTCAAATTCTTCATCATTTTCTTCATCACTTGAAACTTCATACATGACATCATCATTTTCAAAACAGACCAACCTTAATGGGTCATAGTGTTTAGTAAGTTTTTCACCTCCTTTCCCTCCCACTTTATTACCTTGAAATTCTTTTTGCATGATTGGCTGCAATACTGACCTTATATTACAATTTATTCTATTGTCTGATTCTCTTAAAACATTAAACACCGAGGTTTCAATAACTTGAGCAACAATATGTTTAGCTGTAGCATTCACATCTGTTTCACCAACTTTTCGAAAACCAAGTCTTTTCTGTTGGACATTTCTATAAAATAAGTTATTAGATTTATCAGGAACTGTTTCAGAGTATGATTTCACAGTTTCCTTCATACCAGGACTTTTTAAGTCAGTATTTCTTGTTCCAGAGGCATTCTGAAACTGCACAAATTCTGTTAGCCCTAAAGGATCAAATTTAGATTCAAATGAGCCACTTACAAGCAAACCAATGTCATCATCAAATGCACCAATTTCATGTGTAGAAGTATCAGTCAATATGTCAGTATTGATGCTTTCTGGCATCAATATAGGTTCCATGCATGAATTTTCATATTGTTCAAAAGCTTGTGCATCAGGATAATTGATTTCCCATGTTTGTACAGGCAAATAAACTGCTTCAGAATCAGAATTTTCTCTTATCTCTGGATAAGATGTTTGGTTTAATAGAAATGGTGAAGCAAGCTGTTGGCTACTATCTGTAATCTGATTGAACACTCTCTCTATATTATGATTTCTAGCTTCTATCAGGTCTTCATATTTACTTGCAGCTTTTTCTTGATCTTTGTCATCGCTTTTAAGTAATTCCTCAGCCCCATCCACAGTCTGGTCAGATGTTCCACTTTTCTCACAGGTTGCATTTACAGTGTCAATTTCAACCAATTTCTTGTCATTTTCTCCAAAATCAACATTTTCAATATTTGCAATGACAAGTCCATCCAGTTCCTTACTGTCTTGAGGTATATCATCATTTTCTTCATCTGGTTTTTCAATATTACCAACATCATTGGTATCATCACCAATTTCTTCATTTTTATCTTCATTATTAGCCAATTCCTTATGAATGGAAGTTTCAGTAATTTCATTATTTGCGTCCCTGATGTCAGTCAATTCCCTAATGTCTTTGGCAATACCAGCATTTTCTTGATTAGCATTTGCACTATCTGGCAATTTAATATTGATATTTCCAATATCAGCATTTTCTTTACTTGTATCCTCAATTTCAGGTGAGTCTTTATTGATATTGGCAATACTTGCATTCCCTTTGTTTGTTTCCAAATTTTCAGCAGGTTCATTTTTGATGTTAATATCAGCATTTGTTATACTTGTATCCCTTATTTCAGACAACACTTCATTGACATTGTTAATATCAACATTTCTAACATTAGTATTCTTAATTTCAACAACTTCTTTATTGATATGGCCAGTATCAGCATCTCCTTTATTTGCATCCACAATTTTTTCAAATTCCCTTTCTGTATTGGCAGTATCAGCAGCATTTTTATCATCATTATCAATCACTGATAATTCTTTACAGCTGATGACATTTTCTCTATAAGACCCAGTAAGTTCACTTGATTCCCTATCACTATCTTGTTTTTCTGTGTCAGTCATTTCATCAGCGTCCTGAAAGAAAACGATACCATATTACATCTCTATTTCTCATTTCAAAATGTGAAACAAAACATTTGTTATGTTTTTACATGTATATGAATTGAACAGGTCAGTGAAAGTGATTAAATCTCATTCCATTTAAGAATTAATATCAGAAATATCCTTTCAAGCACTTGAAACATTACAATGTGACTTAGTGTGAAGTACAATTACAGTGAAAGATAATACAATACGAGAAAATATTTCAGAAATATAAGACATTAATATCTATATGCTTCATTCTGAAGGCAGGGATAAATAAAACAAATGTATACAAAGATTAAAACTTGATTTATTGCAACGAGGAAGTGAAAACTTGTATGACAGGAAAAAGTGAATACCTGATATTGTGATATTGTTTTATTCCAAGAACATTCACTCATCTATGGTGCTCAGAACTGACATCAAAACATGCACGTGAGAGAAGTGGAATATGGATTCTCCTCATTTAAGACTGGTAACAATATATTTATATATATATTTTTAAAAAGTTATTTATCTTCTGCTTCTAATGGCAGGTTCAAATGGTTTAAATATCCATGGGTACTTTGGATTCCTTCATATGAGAAAGTTATCCAGCTATCTCACAGAAGGTCAGAAGGATCCTATTGTTTATTTATTGGTACTTTGTCCACATGTATTATATTTGTTTCAATTTGTTCAAGTAAAGTATTTTACAATGAGTTTCATAAAGACATTTATTTAATCTGTTTAGTTTCACATTTAAATGCTATTATTTTGTCTTTACAATAAAAGAAAATATTGACCTCAAAGAATTATCATATTTGATTCAAGGGAAGCAATTCATGTTACCATAGTATTATAAGCATCACATGAGTGCTTTCCCATGAATAATTTCTTCAATGTACAATCATATAAACTCACAGATTTATTACTGTAACGTAAATAAAATTTTGCTGGCATCTATTTGTCGATTTCATAATATTTCTAGTATTAATATAGGACATACATGTATCCTTGTTTCACATTTTTTTTTGTACATGTATTATAAAACTCAAGCAACACAGCTTATTATTTGTTTAACAGGTGTTTAACAATCTGTTCTCAAATCAATATAGATAGATACAATGATATTTTTTTAATTGGATATATTTTTTTCATTGAACACATGTTTTCATATTTCAACAAAGTATTTAATACTATAAAAGCTGCTGTCGCTGTCATAACATAACAATATTGATCTCATTTTTTTAACATTATGAAGAAAATACATTGTATTCAGATAATATATGAAAAAATATTTCTAGAAAACATCATGGTAAAATTTTATAGCATGCTAAGAATATGTATAGTATTGCTAAATATCTTAAAGGAACAATGCAGATATGACAAATTACTCTTGACAAGTCATCATAACTGTTTTTTTATAAATCTTGGTCTTGCTCTATATATTTGTTGCTACAATAATACATTTCTAATACAGTATAATCTTTTATATAAAGACATATGTGTATCCTAAAAATATTTTTTTGCCATTATTTAATTTTTGTAAATAATCAAAGGCAATTTATTCTGATGGTTTGCCAATAAACATGATGGAAGGATGAATGAATGAATAAATGAATGAATGAATGAATATGAATGAATGAATGATGCAGTTACTTATCCCAACCCTGTTATTACTGAAGAACAGATAAGGAAGTTGGCTATAGTGATACATATAGACAGTTCTATATACATGCAATAACTTGTGATATACATCAGTGAAACATACATCATTTCCAATTTCATAAAATATTATAACAGATCATTATAGCTTCTAAACATTGTCCCCTCAGACGCAAACTAACTTATAAGTATCTAAGTCTTTATTATTACTCACCCCTCACTTATATAAGAAACATTCATTTATATAACAAACACTCCCTCGTTCACATAACAAATGCTCCCTCACTCACATAACAAAAACTCCCTAACATATGATATAATAAATGCTCCCTTAATCACATAATAAACACTGCCTCACTCACATTACAATAACTCTTTCGTTCAAATAACATACACTCCCTTCTTCGAATTACAAACACTCCCTCACTCACATAACAAATGCTCCCTCACTCACATAACAAATGCTGCCTTACTTACATGACAAACACTCAGTACATAGAATATTATTTCATCAACATTAAATTTTCAGAAGCTTAATTCTGAAAAACTAAAGGCTCAACTTCTGTCAATATATGTGTCCATGTATGATTAAAAGGCATAGAATGGTGAAGTGCTCAGCCTTATTTTTTGGGACATTTTGTATGTATGTAAATAAAGCTCTGAAACAACTTACCTCCTCGGAGGTGCTACCAATGGTGTCGGAACTCATGATACGTCTAAGCTGCATACTACGGGATAATCGGTTACAAAGAGAAACTACTTTCATGGAGCGCTGGAATTAAAAAGTATAACAAAACTAATTAAATTCATAATAACCAATCTTTCTGTGAATATTTTAAAACGGGTTTTACACAAACACATTCATCGTATTTCAAATAGACCATAATTTAAACTGATATTTCCGATTATAGTCATTAGTTCAATTTTTTTTCTTGAGTGTTTATTCAAATGCTATCTATACTTAATTTTTGTATAAAAAAATCTGAAAATTTAACCTGATTCTATGGAATATATGAATCAGTCACAATATGCACAGTTTTTTATTTCCATTCAGAATATGAATTTCTTTGTACAAAAATCTGAACAAATAATGACCAACAAAAAGTATTTTTCCAAATGTATATGGTAGAAAAGTATTTCAAATTTCAAAATTCATACATCAATAATTTCACAAGGTTATGCAACTTTATAATGATAATGGTATTTATTTATAATAAGCATCTAACTGTTGACAATAAAATTGCCAAAATTGCCAATCAACGAACCACCTATAAGTCATGAACATGTCAAGGTTTTAAATTTGGAACAATGCATTGCTAGTAAAAGGGTGTGTGGTCATGTCTTACTTCTTTAACAGAACATTTGAACACTGCTAATGGCTGTGCCCATGACTTAAAAGGTTGTTGCTATTTTTTGTTACGTCTTTCAATATTTGAACAATAACAAATATCATGTTCAAGGCAAATGATTTCCAATCCAAATTGTATGCATTTTTCTGATGTACCTGTACTTTTCCCAATATGCTCACAGAATTTGCTATAATATATTTTTATCAAAATACTGCTACATAGAAAATTCTGCAAGCATAACAGAGAAAGTAAGAAAGTTACAATGGAAAGATATGTACTATTGATATTTGCATTTACCTGGAACATAGTATTATGCTTATTACTCAACTATTGAAAGATATAACGAAAAATTAGCAAAGATCATAAGCAGTGACCGATTGTTACCGTAAACATATGTCATGTGATCAACCACCCTGAGTAACAGGGCTTTGAGTATAAAAAATCTAAGCTGTTAACAAAAAAAGAGAGTCTAGTGTACAGACTAGCCTCAAGCTATTCTAGCTAAACAAGTTTTACTAATCAATGGCACTAGTTCTCAGACAGCAAAAGCACTTTAATAAGAAGAGACAGAGATAAAAAAGCAAACAACAACAAAGGAAATGGAAAAAGTCTCTAAATCTAACTTGACATAATGAGTGTCAGATAATGAAATTGGAATTATTGGAATTAATAATTTCATTAAGTCTGTGATTAGTAAAATGTATGTTTAAGCTAAATATAGAACCCCTAAAAATACTAACATAAAAGAAATTTTTTTTTATCAATTTGCAAAACACATATCCACACTTCTTTTAATGTCACAACAACACTATCAAGGTTGTATGATGACTTTCCTACTTAGTGGATGAGGAAAACCTTATGTGCCCTTCTGTAAATAATTTCAGGCGCAAGAATGCACAGGAGTAGAACCACCAATCTATCCTAAGCTAGCTGGTAAGCTTACATGAAAGAACAGGATTCAAACCAGCCGCAGTGATGGGCAAGAGGTATATTGTATGATGATGGGTAAACTATCTGTATGGGTAAAGTATCTGTACACAAAGATAACTAAATTGGTGACTAGGTATGTTATAAAGTCTACAATAACACATTTTAAATTGGGATTACCTTCCACCTTTGTCTAGCTATAAACTTTTTAAGGTGTTCTGTGTTTATAACGGAGGATCTACGAAGCACCTGGTCACGCTTTTCTACAGGCTACAAAGGAAATAAAAACATTAAAGAAGAGGTGAAAATTAGAATCAAAACACCAGAAAAGGAAACAAGGTAGGAAAATATCTCAGTAAAGGTCAAGTAAGCATTTAAAAGCAAGAATGTTTCATTTCTATCTATTTTTCTTTCTTTCTATGATATATTTCATTTAGCATAAAATTGTTACTATAGTTGAAGATGGCCTTCCAACACTTATTATCTGAAAATAAGATAGATTTGGACATTTAAATACTAAATGTTTCTGTTTCCTCTAGCTTTGTTTTTAATATCCACTGATACAGAAAGTTTGTTTGTACGCCTGTTTTACTTATGCCGATTTAACACATTTTTGATCATATGGCTGATCCAACTTACCAGCTTTCCTGGATAACTGATAACCAGTAATTAACAATTTCTCTGCATGTGACCAACTACTAATCTCACATCATTAATATGTGAGAGATAGATGACCATTAGACTCAATGTCCTAGAGACATTCACCTCACCAGAGTATCAAACCAGTGACCCCTGGATCACTAATCAGATGCTCTACCTAGTGAACTAAGCAATATAGAAAGGACCATTCTGTCAGTATATATGTCTCAGCAAAATTTTATTTTTAAAATTAACAATGTAACAAAATACTGCAAAGAAAAAAGGAAATTCTTAAACTTATATTGTCTTGGAATTTCTATTAATGAATACTATCCTGCTATACCTAAATAATGACAAATATATTGTAAAGTATATTCTAAAATCATAGTAATTAAAACCTTTTTATATCTTAATTTAGTATAACAGATAAGAATCAAATATATTAGGATGAATATTATTTATTATTCAAGTCTATATTTCTTTTTCTGTAACACAATGTGAAAGAAAAATACATTTGCGTAAATTTGCTGAAATATTCAAAATGTGATTTTTGCAAAAAAAATCGTTATCTTCAACTAAATCATATTACTTTTGTCAGAACTTTATATCAAAATCACATTTGAACAAGCTTGTGATTCTACAAATCCAAGATGTGACGCTTATTTTATATTTTATGTCCAAGCTTTAAACCCAGTATGCAGTCACACTCGCTACAAGTCCCTAGTTTATTAGGGAATAAACTGATCAAACATGTATATAGAAGCATACTATTTTATTAGTTGCTTAGTAACAGTTTTTAATGTCATTAATATCATGCAAGTAACAGCTAAATGCTAAAATACAATGTAGTCACACACTCTACTGAATATTTTATGTGATCTTTTGCAATGGTTATTGGGCCATTTATTTGGGGGCTAAAATTGGGTCTAATTCCCATCTTCAAAGTATTTGTTATTGGCAAAAGTCTCCTTTCCAAAATTATACACAAATTATTCAACAGAAACTTTAGTTGTTTTTATTTACTTTTCTTACATTACAAAGTGTAGGTAATGACCAATAATCTTGCTATCACTTGTTAGAAATTGCCAACCAAACACATCCCTCCCCCCAGTCCCCTGGTTTAAACAAGTTCTTGCAACTCATATTAATTACGTTTAAGTCCACTTCCTGGAACCAACCAGCACTGGTGTCATATGAAGAAACAAAGTTGTGACCTGATTAAGGCTCAAACACATGATCCCTGTGTTGATAGGCAGACCCCTTAACCACTAGGCCACCACTCCCCACCCCTCACCCACAAAGGTCTCATAATTATTTCCTTAATGCTGAAAAAAATTACTGTTTTGATTAATAACCATTAATTCAAACATTCAATTTAACATTTTTTCCCTAAATAAAAAAGTCCCATACATTATGTTTTACACACCACATCCACTTATTGTTAACATTTTCTGGGGTAAAATGAATCATGAACGGCACAATTGAGAACACAGACTTTAACCCATGACCATATACACCTAACAAAGAAAAGTTTGTTGTCTTTCACATTTATGTACATATGAACATACATACTTGCAGAACTATATCAAAATCTACAAGAAAAATATATGACAGTATGGAATGTAAAAGTTGGTAAAACTTATGGACCATTGGGTCCAAATTAACACATAATTTTCCTCCTAAATTTATGTATATTTATCTTATATACCATGATTATAATATAATCTGTCCTTTTTAAAGGAAAAATTTGTGTTTTGCAAAGTCAATTGCCATGAAAAGCTTATATAATACTGAATTCTGTTACCAGGACTCAACTCTTCACAAGAAACTGCCCACTTCTCAACAAAAGTATTAAGTGAAGGGGCAATAACTCCTCTATAACTCCTCACATGGCCAAGGACATAAAAAGGGGAAACAGACAAAAGCCCTCCCGGACTAAAAGCCCTCCCGTCAAAAAAATGACCAATGCGGACAAAAGCCCTTTCCTGTGGGAAAATACAGGTGGTGGACAAAAGGGCCCTCCCGTTGAAAATTTAACAGGGCGGGACAAAAGCCCTCTCATGGAAAAATAACTGGGCGGACAAAAGCACTTCCGTGAATTTCAACAAGGCTGGACAAAAGCCCTCCCATAAAAAAATAAATATATATGTTGAATACCTGTTGTTTTGTTTTATTTCAATGCACTCAACTATTAAAAGTGGGTTACATATATTTCTTGTTGTTTTCCAAAATTGGCCTAAGTAATGTGTATTTGAGCTTAAACCACCTTTTCTTTTTGAATATACCTTTCCCTGAAATGTTTTGACGAGGTAAACTTTTTTTCCACGGGGAATGTCGGTTAAAAACAAAAACACTTTTAAAAGTAATTAAACTCATTAATGGCACATAGATGTCTTTAACTTGTAAGTTAGATAATTTTAATTTTTTACTTCTTTTCATCAAATTTATTTACTCTATTAATTGTAATTCTAAATTTCAAATAATAGGAAGTTATCCTTCATATCTAAGTGAATGAATATGCACTTACAGATTTAAGCACTAAATTATTCAGATGGGCCTCTCAGAAATGTGCTCAAGCTCATACAAAACACGCTTAATGCCAAATGGAAAACAAAAATAATCATGATCACAATTTTAATATGTTGAGTGCATTGAAAAGAAAATATAAACTATTTATCGTACAAATATGTATTTGCTACGGGAGGGCTTTTGTCCGCCCTATTATTTTCATGTGAGGGCTTTTGCCCGCCAAGTCATTTTTATGACAGGGCTTTTGTCCGCCCTGTCATTTTCACGGGAGGGCTTTTGTCCGCCTTGTCATTTTTACGGGAGGGCTTTTGTCCGCCTTGTCACTTTTTGACGGGAGGGCTTTTGTCCCGGAGGGCTTTTGTCCTACACTCCATAAAAAGTGCTCAATAATTAAGCACTGGTTCTGTAAACTTGCTATACAGTGCTATAACAGTGCTGAGCTCAACTAACAAAATTAGCTTCCCCAAGATCTAAATTCACAAGCCCTTATATCTATTCCATAGATCCTATAACTTCCATTCTAACTAACATATATTTTTTCAAACCTTTAATCTAAGGTAACCTATGGAAAACTTGCATTCTCATTTAACAGGGATGATTTTCAAAACAACCTATGTCATATTACTTAAGTATATTAGCTTCCCACATCTTTCAATGCCCTTAATTAATTTACTTAAGTATATTTTAGCCTCCCACATCTTTCAATGCCCTTAATTAATTTACTTAAGTATATTTTAGCCTCCCACATCTTTCAATGCCCTTAATTAATTTACTTAAGTATATTTTCAGGGCTCTACAAATCCTATAGTCCGACATCCGGGACAACTCTAAAACCACTTGGGACAACTGACAATAAGCAGAAAGTTAGTCCCAGACAAGTCAAATTTTGACAGATGCTTATCTTGGACAACTGTAAAATTATGTTATTAATACGACCCTTCACAGCATGGTGCGCCGGTAATCTTCGCCTGAGGCAAACAATTTCAGCAGTTGCTACGCGGATTAATTTTACATTGCCACAGGCAATAACAAGAGCACCGCTAGGCGGAGCATTATATGCCCGAAAGTATTTTTTTTTTTAGTAAGGATGACCTTAACCGTTGACCTTTTGACCCCAAAATCAATAGGGGTCTTCTACCCAATATGGACAATCATCCTATGAAGTTTGAACATTGTGGGCCAAATGGAACTTAACATATGCTCCGGCAACTGTTTTTCAGTATCAAGGTAATAGTGACCTTCACCTTTGACCTTTTGACCCCAAAATCAACAGGGGTCTTCTACCCAATATGGACAATCATCCTATGAAGTTTGAACATTGTGGGTACAAATGGAACTTAAGTTATGCCGTGGAAACATATTTTTCAGTATCAATGTGATAGTGACCTTCACCTTTGACCTTGTGACCCCAAAATCAATAGGGGTCTTCTACCCAATAATGGACAATCATCCTATGAAGTTTGAACATTGTGGGTCGAATGGAATTTAAGTTATGCTCTGGAAACTGTTTTCAGTTATAAGGTAATAGTGACCTTTGACCTTTGACCCCAAAATCAATAGGGGTTCTTCTACCCAATATGGACAATCATCCTATGTAAGTTTGAACATTGTGGGCCAATTGGAACTTAAGTTATGCTCCGGAAAACTGTTTTCAGTATCAAGGTCATAGTGACCTTGACCTTTGACCTTGTGACCCCAAAATCAATAGGGGTCTTCTTCCCATATGGACAATCATCCTATGAAGTTTGAACATTGCTGGGTCGAATGGAACTTAAGTTATGCTCTGGAAACTGTTTTAGTTATTAAGGGTATAGTGACCTTGACCTTTGACCTTTTGACCCCAAAATCAATAGGGTCTTCTACCCAATATGGACAATCATCCTATGAAGTTTGAACATGTGGGCCAATTGGAACTTAAGTTATGCTCCAGAAACTGTTTTCAGTATCAAGGTCATAGTGACCTTGACCTTTGACCTTGTGACCCCAAAATCAATAGGGGTCTTCTCCCCAATATGGACATCATCCTATGAAGTTTTGAACATTGTGGGTCGAATGAACTTAAGTTATGCTCCGAAACCGTTTTCAGTTTTAAGGTAATAGTGACCTTGACCTTTGACCTTTTGACCCCAAAATCAATAGGGGTCTTCCTACCAATATGGACAATCATCCTATGAAGTTTTTAACATTGTGGGCCAAATGGAACTTAAGTTATGCTCCGGAAACCAAATTGCTAACGGACGGACGGACGGACGTACGGACGGACGGACAGACAGACAGACAGACAGACGGACGCCAGGGGGTATAACATAATATGCCCTTTCGGGCATATAAAAATAGATAAGACACTAAATGTTTGATAAAAATCTTAAAGACAAAGTCCAACATTATTATAGACATGTCAAAAACATTATTAAGTTACAGACTTGGTCTTTGAAGATTATATATTGACACAAGCAGACAGTAATTTGTGCCGTGAATTGCAAATTTGGAATTTTTTGTTTTAGGCTTTTTGATGAATTCCTAAGTGGAAAACAATATTAAAATATCCAAAAAGCATCTATTATGAACGCATTCGAACATACAATAGTCAAAATAGTATAATTTATGAGGAAAACAGAAAAAATTTCATTTGTCACATATTTTCGCGATGCCGATTTTTTTATATAAATCGTGAGGCAGTTTTAATCAGTTTAAAGCTCTGCAGCAAGTAGAAATATTAAAAATGTTTTGTTACTTATGAATCAAAAGGACTTTTGACAATGTTAAGATAAATAATGATGAGATTTGTAAGTTTTTGAAAAGTCTAATTCACTATCATATTTTATATTTCCCTACCGGGTAATAATGACTGTCTTTTTCTTATTTACCATGTCCAATGTGAAATGTGGAAACTGAGAGAGGCTATGGCTAACTTGATTCACGTTAGAATAATTTTACTTAAATTTTCAAGATCAAGGATAAAAATTCAGGAAAAAAAAATAAAACTGAAACAAAACATATAGGCCTACATAGGCTATTGAACTTGAACAGTGCTGAAAGGTACCTGGGACGAGTGCTGTACAATCAAAACTATTTCAGTTGAAATAAAATGTTCTATTTTATACTAAATGAAATGCAAAATGTAACTTAAAAATATTAAAAAATTAATTGTTTTTACTTCTACTTTGGATATACATACTACGCATACTAAACATTTACCAAGACTTGGACAATTGTGGTCAATTTTGGGACAACTCTATTTTGCTAGGTCAGTTGTCCTGGACAACTCTATTCCAAAAAAATTTGTAGAGCCCTGATTTTAGCCTCCCACATCTTTCAATGCCCTTAATTAATTTATTTAAGTATATTAGCTTCCCACATCTTTCAATGCCCTATATTAGTTTACCTTAGCATATTAGCTTCCAACATCTTTCAATGCTGTTAATTACTTACTTAAGTATATTAGCTTCCCACATATTCCAACGCCCTTAATTAATGTACTTAAACATATATTATCTTCTCTTAACTTTCAATGCCCTTTATTAGACACTTAAGTATATTTTAGCCTCCCACATCTTTTAATGCCCTTCATCACTTTACTTAAGTATATTAGCCTCCCACATCTTTCAATGCCCCTAATGAGTTAAATGGTTGGGATTGATATTTATTTAGTCATAATGTCTGTTACTATTGTTAATTTAATAGATTAACAATACAATATTCTGAGCTAATTCAAACAAGAAGCGTATTGAGAAAAATGCAGTGTAACATTTTACAATGGGTAGCATATCAGTTAGATAGGTTTTTAAAACAGTTTACTGTGTTAATTACTTCCCCTTACCAAAATGAACAACACTAGTCAACTGCTATAGGGCTGCAAATATAAGTTTTTTGTCTCGTGTTTGTATTGCTGTAAAAATAGTCAATATTTCAGTTTTAGAATACAAATTTGGGATAGATCTTGAATTATTTTCAGTTTGAAAGGAAATATCTTTATGCATTAAGTTTGTTTGTTTGATTGTGTTTTACGTCACACCGACACAGTATAGGTCATATGGCGATGTTTAGCTAGTAGAGGAAGACCTAAGGAGCCATTCCAAGTATTATTTCAGGCATGCACAGGCACCTGAGTAGAATCACAGACGTTTCGTATGTTAGCTGGATAGCTTCGTCACATGAAAGAATCCTTATGCATTAAGTATATTTTACTTTATATTTTATTTTGTACATTTCCATGGTTTAAAAAACAGGATATTCATCAAAATGTATGAAATTAACTTCTGGTTCTTAGAGACACAGTTATTTTTGTTTCCTCAACACTTAACATGTTTATTGTTTCCTAAGGTAATGATTTTCTTATTGAGCACAGATAAAAAATGGCAAGAGTCAAATTCTTAAATGAACTTACTTGAAGAAAGTTTAAAGCAAAAAGCAAAGTCATGAAGCCATTGTAGAATAAATATGCAATTATCTCTTGTTTCCATATACATGAGTTCAAGTGTTTAAACAATTAAAACTTTACAAACAGCTATCTTAATATTAACAAATTCATCAACTCTATTAGAGAGGTACTAATTTTCTTCATTGTTTCAAACGCTCACCTGGTGAGCTAATAAGTATATTTCATATTTTTCACATATATTAACAAACATACTGACAAGTTTATTGCACAACTTTTAGCATGTCACCATATGACAAAGAAGCTAAGATCTTCAAAAACATAACCTATATTTGTTTCTATATTAATTTCTAAAATCAAAGAAAAACTCTAAAGTCACAGCCAAAAAAGAGAAAAATACACTTTTTTCCAATTGGAAATATTATCACATGAGTAATTTACAAAAAAATACTATATATGTGTATCAAAAAGAAGGAAAAGTAGATTTCAATGAAAGACAGGGTGTTATTTCGTTTTTCTTGAATACAAAAATATCTACCTTTATCCAGGGGTGGTTTAGGCAGTCGTGTATATTGGCTCTTTTCCTGTAAAAATAAGTACAAATATTACACACTGAATCAAGTCAAAAAAATTGTAACAAAAAAAACCTAGAAATGTTTATAACTTGGCTTTTGTTAAAAAGGTTATATAATAAACTCTCTGTGCTATAATGGTACATCTGTTCAATTTTGTTGTGGTTCACGAAACATTTAAAACAAAACAGTTACAAAACAGGCTAATAAAACTAATGTTTTGTAAACCAGGATAAAAGGTTTATAACCATTAAAAAAACAACAGTTTGTTCCTTTCAGGATTATTATCAACAAGCATGATAAGTACATTGTAATGCTTTGGAGTCAGCTCTCTGGGGTTCATAGATGACCCAGGCATGTGCAAGCATCTGAGTTAACCACTGTCATTATTTCAGGCATGTGCAAGCACCTGAGTAAACCACTGTCATTATTTCATGCATAAGGTGGCACCTGTATAAACCACTGTGACATTATTTCAGGCATGTGCAAGCACCTGAGTAAACCACTGTCATTATTTCATGCATAAGGTGGCACCTGTATAAACCACTGTGACATTATTTCAGGCATGTGCAAGCACCTAAGTAAACCACTGTCATTATTTCATGCATAAGGTGACACCTGTATAAACCACTGTGACATTATTTCAGGCATGTGCAAGCACCTGAGTAAACCACTGTCATTATTTCAGGCATAAGGTGGCACCTGAGTAAACCACTGTCATTATTTCATGCATAAGGTGGCACCTGTATAAACCACTATGACATTATTTCAGGCATGTGCAAGCACCTGAGTAAGCCACTGTCATTATTTCAGGCATAAGGTGGCGCCTGAGTAAACCACTGTCATTATTACAGGCATAAGCTGGTACCTTAGTAAAACCACTGGGCATTATTTTATAGATGAGGGGGCACCTGAGAAGAAACACTATACATCAGATCAGGCGTGAATATGTTCTTGATCTAGAGTACAACTTCTGTGCATTATTTCAGACAAAAGGGGGCACCTGAGTATAACTATGAATTATTTTGGGTATCAAAGGACACTTGTGTAGAACCACTGTTCACCTATCAGGCATGAGGTGGCATCTCAGTACAACCACTGTGCATCCTTTCAGGCATTAATCAGACCCAAGAAGGACCAATGACCAGTAGTCTAATTGTTGCTGGCTAGTGAAAGAATCCAAGGTCACAAATGGGACTCGAACCCATAGTATTGACGGTCAAGTGACTTAAGTCAGCTACCTTTACCACTTGGTCACTGAGGTCTCAAGGTAACAATATAGATAAAATCAATTATTGCCTGGATTCAAATTATCTATACACTTATTTACAACAAATGTTTGAAAGAACCATAATAGATCCATTCGTATAAAGACAATGATTTCTTGTATGCCCGGTTAACCAGCAGAGGGGAAAGTCCAGATAAACTGACCAGATTTCATGATTCCCCTTGCTAGATTATCTGACCTTGACCTTTAATTACAGTAATTAGAGGCTATAACCATAACATTACTCAAAAACTTAACAACTAATCCTTCAGAACCGGAACTACATGATATTAAACATGTCATAATGAAAATTAAACCTGGTATCTTTGACTAGAAGTTTTTGGATAAAGTCCTTGGCAAGATCGCTGGTCCCGTTGAAGTACTCCTCATCAAACTCGAAGTTAATGGAGGTGATATTATGGTATGTTTCCTGCTGATTGTCCCCCAGGAAAGGGGAAAGTCCAGATAAACTGAAAATATAGGTATATAATTAAACAAAATATAGGTATGCAGTAAAAACATATACAAAATAACCTTTCAAAATTTGGAGTATTTTTTTTAACCAAAACGAATGTATAATCAATGCAAATATAGACAGATAAATAATCTTTTGAGGTGTTAGGAATACCTCTAATTGTAACATAAAATAAGAGCTGTCAGCTGTTTAACCAATGACATCCTGGATAGCTTCCCCATATGGAAGATGCCCCAGCAGGTTAATGGTATAGGTTATATGGCAATATTTCTTCGCTTTACGGGTGTATGGTTCAAATTGCATTATTTAAGGTGCAACCTGGTAGAACTAATTACATGCTAGATAGCTTCCCCATGTGAAAAAATTCCAAGTGACTGATGGAATTCAATCCGGCAACAGCTAAGAACTAACAACTGTAACTCAACCAAGGCTTTAAATTAGGCAATAAGCTATCGAATGACTTCCTTCATCAGTACAAGCTAATAAAGTTGATTTGAATATTGTGTGTTTTAAGAATCAATAAATATAATTTATACAAGACATGCCCACAGGCAGAATGTCGAGCCCCCTCATCAAACATGAACCTTTAAGCTTCAGATAAAGGAGAAAGATGTAAACATAGGTGAGATGTGTGCAACAAATCCACTTTATACCCAAGGCAAAATCTTGACCTGCCGCAGACACCTATATTTTTCACGCGACACTCTGCCTCCCTATGGAGAATATTTGTCCCAAGATATATCAAAATTCCTCCATGCATGTAGAAGTTACACTCTGGACACAGGTTTTGCACTGTCCCCCAAGTGTGACCTTGACCTTTGAGTGGCAGACCTGGGTTTTGTGTGCAACACATCACCCCATCATGGTGAACATTTATAATAAATTATTTTGAAATCCTTCAAAGAATGAGCAAGATATAGACTGGACAAATCCGGACGACATGCGACCAAATTGAGATTAAGGGCCATTTCTATTGCTATTTTCTTTTGTTTAATAGAGGGCGCCAATGGCCCCTTCCTCTATAATGTTACAGAATGATCTCTATTGTTCTCTTTTGTTCTGTTTACAGTCAGATAGCACATTACCTCTATTCAGTAGTGCGAACGGACAACCAGACTGATGGATGGACAAAGCAGCAATTATTTGCTCATAAAAAATGAGGAGAATGAAATAAAAAAGTAAATTGAAATCATAAAAAAGGATGAAGAGAAAATTTTGAAGACAACTGCTGAAGAAACTTGAAAAATTAGAGAAAAACTAAACCCCCATATCCATAGAGCTGACTCATTATCAAAATACAGATTGAAGGTGTCAACTGATTGTTGCAATTAAGAATCAATCTTGACTTATTTATAGTCTATCTTGACTTGTTCATGGTCTATCTTGACTTATTCATAGTCTATCTTGACTTGTTCATGGTCTATCTTGACTTATTTATAGTCTATCTTGACTTGTTCATGGTCTATCTTGACTTATTTATAGTCTATCTTGACTTGTTCATGGTCTATCTTGACTTATTAATAGTCTACTTTGATTTATTCATAATCTATCTGGACTTATTATAGTCTATCTTGTCTTGTTCATAGTTAATCTTGACTTATTTGTGGTCTCTCTTGACTAATTCATAGTTGATTTATTCATTATCTATCTTGACTAATTCATAATCTATCTGGACTTATTCATAATCATTAACAATCATACAAAACCACATAAAAACACAGTAGATATTGTAAACTAATTACCAATTTGAGATGTAATAACAAGAGCACCGCTAGGCGGAGCATTATATGCCCGAAAGTGTTTTTTTTTTAGTAAGGATGAAGCATTTGTAAGACATGGGAATAAGCTGTTCATCCTATAAAATTTTACAGCTGTAGGTTGATTAATAGTTATTAATAATGACCTTAACCTTTAACCTTGTGACCCCAAAATCAGTAGGGGTTTTCTACCTTATATGGACAATCATCCTAAGAAGTTTGAATTTTGTGGGCCAATTGGAACTTTAATTATGCTCTAGAAACTGTTTTCAGTATTAAGGTAAAAGTGACTTTGACCTTGTGACCCCAAAATCAATAGGGGTTTTCTACCCAATATGGACAATCATCCTATGAAGTTTGAATAAAGTGAGCCAAATGGAACTTATGTTATGCTCCGGAAACTGTTTTTGGTTTAAAGGTAATTTTGACCTTGACCTTTGACCTAGTGACCCCAAAATCAAAAGGGGTCTTTTGCCCAACATGGACAATCATCTTATGAAGTTTGAACATTGTGGGCCAAATGGAACTATGCTCCGAAAACTGTTTTCAGTATTAAGGATATAGTGATCTTGACCCTTGACCTTTTGACCCCAAAATCAATAGGGGTCTTCTACCCAATATGGACAATCATCCTATGAAGTTTGAACATTGTGGGCCAAATGGAACTTAAGTTATGCTCCGGAAACTGTTTTCAGTATCAAGGTAATAGTGACCTTGACCTTTGACCTTGTGACCCCAAAGTCAATAGGGGTCTTCTACCCAATATGGACAATCATCCTATGAAGTTTCAACATTGTCGGCCAAATGGAACTTAAGTTGTGCTCGGAAACTGTTTTCAGTTTTAAGGTAATAGTGACCTTGACCTTTGACCTTGTGACCCCAAAGTCAATAGGGGTCTTATACCCAATATGGACAATCATCCTATGAAGTTTGAACATTGTGGGCCAATTGGAACTTAAGTTTTGCTCCGGAAACTGTTTTCAGTATCAAGGTAATAGTGACCTTGACCTTTGACCTTGTGACCCCAAAATCAATAGGGGTCTTCTACCAAATATGGACAATCATGATATGAAGTTTGAACATTGTGGGTCGAATGGAATTAAAGTTATGCTCCGGAAACTGTTTTCAGTTTAAAGGTCATAGTGACCTTGACCTTTGACCTTTTGACCCAAAAATCAATAGGGGTCTTCTACCCAACATGGACAATCATCCTATGAAGTTTGAACATTGTGGGCCAATTGGATCTTAAGTTATGCTCCGGAAACTGTTTTCAGTATCAAGGTCATAGTGACCTTGACCTTTGACCTTGTGACCCCAAAATCAATAGGGGTCTTCTACCCAATATGGACAATCATCCTATGAAGTTTGAACATTATGGGTCGAATGGAACTTAAGTTATGCTCCGGAAACTGTTTTCAGTTTTAAGGTCATAGTGACCTTGACCTTTGACCTTTTGACCCCAAAATCAATAGGGGTCTTCTACCCAATATGGACAATCATCCTATGAAGTTTGAACATTGTGGGCCAAATGGAACTTAAGTTATGCTCCGGAAACCAAATTGCTAACGGACAGACGGACGTACGGACGGATGGACGGACAGACAGACAGACAGACAGACAGACGGACGCCAGGGGGTATAACATAATATGCCCTTTCGGGCATATAAAAAGTTATTCAGACAATACTGTGTTTTTATTATGATAACTTTTATATTAAAACCAATGTAAACTAAGTTGAGCGATTGCAACTCATAAATGAGATTGTTAATAGCTAAAAGTTGAACATGGGAAAATATAAACAAATTTCAAAATATTACAAAAACATGACAATTACATTTATATATATATTTATTTTGCATGAAAAATGAGCCAAAATAAATTAAAACATGTTGTAAAGTTAAACCATTTGTTTAATATTTTAACATGCGTTAATAATCTCATGTCTAAGTAGTACAGCTCGATTCAATATTTCTTTCATTATCTGTTTACATCAATATTGACAAATAGGGATGTCGATAATTCTTATATAAAAGCATACTATTTATCGCCTTAATCTTTAAACAACTTAACAATTACTCATATTTTATCTGTTCCGCGTAATAGCGTAGTGATAGTTGGCTTCTTCAGGGTAGAGACCCTGGTTCGATTCCTGGAAATTTTTCTTGTCATTTTTTGTTTGTTTGTTTTTAGATATATTTCAACGAACTGGATTTTAGTTGTTGTGAATTTATTTCACACAATACTATTTGAGAACATTTAGTTTTACACACTTTCGCTTTCAGCAGGTTAAGTTAGAGGCAATACAGTCATGAGTAGAGTAATAAATGAGAAACGGAAGAAAATTTAATATATAAATACACAAATGAGCCGAAATTGTTAAAGAATGCCGTAAATTGAAATAGAATTAAATTGACAATGCTATTCAATCTGTTCGATGACTGTTAAAATCAAATACATTCAATTTTGCTAAACCGTTTAACTCTTAACTGTACAAAATAGTAAATAAATCAGAGGTTTATAAAAGAGAATATAAAATATTTCTGAAAGTAAAAACCATACAGACACACAAAAATATTGCACAATTGCAGATTTGAACTTAAAATAGAAAACAATTTTCTTAACATGAACATCTGAACTCTCTAACCACTACACTACTCGGATTTACGTATCCACTTTTATCCTTCTATATTGAAACTAGAACTATCACTAAATGTGATTAATACCCCCACAAGTCTGCTTCGGAAATGAGGATGTTACTAGTAACAGAATACCTTGTAAAAGAATTGAAACATAGAGTTATGGTTGTGGGCAATTAAAGATAATTGTGGTTCATGTATGTTGCATTTCCTTTCAATGTGGTTGGCCATTGATGAAGGTTAATTGAATTACTCTGTAATTAGTCCAGAAAGACAAAGAAAAAGAACAAAGGGCAAACACTCTATAAATACTGAAGATAGAGTTATAGTTCTTGTGCACTGCACTTCCTCTTATTGTGCTTGACCATTGTATGAAGTTGTTTTGAATTCCAACCAGTACGTTTTAAGTTATGCTCCGGACAAGGAAAAGTATCAAAGGGCAGTAACTCTGTATTTTGTCAAAATGGAGTTATGGCTCTTGTGCACTGCACTTCCTTTGAATGTCCTTGACAACTGTATGAAGTTGTACTGAATTCCAAACAGTAGTTTTCAAGTCATGCTCTGGACAAGGAAAAGTAACAATGGGCAATAACTGTGTAATT